CCACTTTTTCACAGTTCCTGGGGACACAGGCGAACAAACCTAGAGCCAGAGCCTCTGTGCTCTGAGCAACGCTCATCCCCCAGCATCTGAAATATGACCAAGGTGCCTCTTGTCTGATGGAGAAACCCAGGCTACTGCCCAGAGCAGAGCACAGAGAGGATTTGAGCCCAATGAGCAGAAGGCACATCCTTCTGTGGCAGTTTTTCTCTGAAGGGATACTGTATTGTCAGTTGAGAGCAACAGCAGCAATAAGGATATGAGCCTGGAATATGTGGATTGGCCTTTCTCTCTTTTATGGCACTTTCAGAGATCTTGTTTGTTGGACATTTCTGCCAGTGCTCATCTGCTTTCTGGGCTGTCCCTGGTGTCCAGCACTAGTCTGTCATCCAGCTCTGCTTTGGGCACTGGGGCTTCCAGTCCACTGGGTCCCAAGGACCCTGCAGACGGCCAGACCCTTTTTCTCCAGATATCCCAGGAGAAACACATTTTGGGAGTCCCACTCTCAGACCAAGGTTCAGCTCCTATCAGAGTACTCCTCAGCTCGTATCTGAGTTAAGGGAATCTTTCAGGACCACTCAGCTGCTGCCCCAGCCTCTCAGCAACACGTGGCATGTTGGGTCAGTGCCAGTGCCTGACTCCTTCACCCCAGTGTCAAGGTCGCTGTAACTGAGAGCAAAGCTGGCACATGTCTCCCATCCCTCTTTGCTCTTGAGAAAACCCACTGCAGCCCTGGGATGTTTGGGAGGCTATTGCATATTTTTCCATTGGATTAGAAGCATGAATGCTGCAATGAGAAACGTAACCTAGTTTGCTGCATGGTTTTTGTATTTAATCCACCCCACCCTCTGTGTTGCAAAACACGGAGGTGGTGGCATCAAAGATATTATTTAACTAGATATTGGCCAAGGTACTGATAACCATCTCCACAGGTAACTGAGGATGACCAACGAGGATTCTGTAAGTGTCCCATCTCTCCTTGAGGAAGAATCCGGAGGTCTTTTGAAAGAGAATAGTAACACAGTTCTCCACAGCGAATGCTGGCCAGTTACAAGTTGCCAGCTCCCCAATGTGCCCATGAATGCTGCAGATTTTCTTCAGTAATTAAATCATTGGGTTTTTCATTATGGTGTTGTTTGTTTTTTTGTTTGTTTGTTTAGCACAAATGCAGCCCACAGCTTTAGTCAGATCACCCCAATGTTGTTTCTGACTTTCAGGTTTCTCTGGGATATTCAGCTGAGGATTGTCATACAAAGGGGGCTCACCTTCTAGCACTGTAAAGAAAGAGGCTGCAGATTTGTCCAAAGACTCCATAAAGCTATGTTTTCTTAAAAGTGTTCTCATGAAATTCTGGCCTCCCAATCAGGCAGCCAGTCACTCTGCCTCCTCCTAGCACTTCTGCAGGGCACATCTTGGCTTTGCCCAGATCTACTGGGAGATGGGAACTTTCTCTTTTCCAGTCCTTTTCTCCTCACTGCTTTTTGGGACCTGCCATCTCAGATGAATGGGTCCCTTCTCCAAGACCACCCTCTGACGTGTGGTGTACTCAGCCTCTCGGGAGATAACATGCTGCTTCCAGGCATCACAAAGCATGTTTGGTACCCACCCTGGACATAATTTCGTATACAGAATGCACCTCTGGTTGGTGCCTTGGTAGAAACTATCATGGTCCTTTGTGTGGGAAGAGCAGCTTGCATCCCTCTACCTCAAGGGTGCCTATTCCGATGCATTTCCCCATTGTGCATCTCACTGAAAGCCTGCCAAGCTGTGGGCACCAGCTCTTTCTGCCTCAGGGTTCTGCTGCTTGGCCTCTCTGCAGCAACAAGGTGTTGACTTGGGAACCACTGCACGTGTCCCAAGTGCCCAGAGAAGGACAGCTCCACCACTTCCTCTGTGCAGCTGAGCTTACACTTCCTTTAGCTCCCTGAGCTTCCCAGTCAGTGCCAGAAGTCTCTCAGTTAATTCCAGTCTGATCTCTGAAAACCCTGTTGCCTGTGCAGGCACTTGTTGGGTACCAACCTGCCCAGCAGCTCTTGCTCACACCACATCCTTGCCAGACCTTCCCTTCTGTTTCCCCAGGTGTGGCTGATTTTTGTTTACAGTTCCTTGCCATGAAGTTATTAGTTATCTCCCATTAGTAAGGGACTTGGTTTTGCTTGCTGTGTTTGCTTTAGCTCTGGACAAACAGCAATCAGGATGTTTAACATGAGGTCCTTCTGGCAAGCACTCTATCTCAGGAACACCCAGACAAGCTGATAACCCAGTCTTCAAGTCATGACGTGGTTTCCAAGATCAGCTAAAGTCTGCAAATAAATTCTAGAGCACCTGAGAAAGTCAGCATAAAGTGGAAGACTATGACTGCTTTCAGAATGGATGGTGCAAGGACCAAAACATGATAGTGGAATCACTCAGAGAAAAACATGGTATTACAGAAATCTGGAAATGCAATGGAAAATTCCTTCAGCAAGACTAACTCAGTGATACTGCAGAACAGTGTTTTCTATTCCTATTTTTCTTGGTGAGTGTAGTTTGCATCCATAAGACATGCCAAGAGAGACAAGAAGAGCAATGTATTAAGGTTGTGCACAAGATGACTGCTGCGGTTAAGTCTGGAACCTGGCTGAAGCTACTAATGCCTAACACGGACAAAGGAGCATTTAGTGAGCTGGGCTTCCATATCCCTGCCCTTGGCTACTCCTGTTGCAGCCTGCCACTCATTCCCCATGTCTCTGCCAGGGTCCCACACGTCCCTGTCAGCCTCTCTGCCCAGGGCACCCACGCTGGCAGTTCTGAGAAGATGTCCCTGTGCTGATCTCTCTCCAGTCACTGTTATCTCTGCGGCGGGGTCCTGTTCTGGGAGATGACGAAAATGCCATTCGAGGGAGTCAGCATTTAAAATGGGTCGTTAGAGAGAAACGTCACAGTGTCTTTGCTAAAGATAGCCTGGTGCTGAGTAAAACAGTGCCTCTAAAACCTTCCTTTTACAACATGCTCACTCAGCATAATAACCCCTCGGCCCCAAACAACCCCCCTACAGTGCCAGTGCCAGGCGGCTCCTGTCATTTTCCTGGGCTCTCCATCAGCCTCTTGTGACCACCTCTTGGGAAGCTGTAGCAGGATAGGACTACATCCTCTGCTTTGCTGGTTCTTACAAGGGACAAGCACTTCCTAGAGCATGGATTCCTTTAAAAGTAGTTTTGAGGGCTAGTTTGGAATAGTGCCAGGGTGCCAAGGCTACAGGTGCAGAGAGAGTCGAGATGGAAGGGGAGAGCAGTGAGCTTGGTGTGCCCCTCAAGTGAAGCCAGGAGAGGGGGAGCAGATTATGCTGGACTGCAGAAATATATGTGTCTCTCCACCACGGTTCCAACTCCCTTCTCTCTCTCTCACCTTCACCCACACACTCACACCATTTTGCACTGCTGATTCAAGGGAAAGAAGAGGTTGATGCTTTCTACTTGAACTGGTCACCACAAACTGTTTTTCTTGAACGGTAGGGAAAAAAAACACCTCCTGACAATTGTCATAAGTTCTCCCCTGTCTTCTCTCCTTCTTTCTCTCTCATGCGATCCCATGGACTGGGTTCCACAAGAGGGCATGTGGGACCACCACAAAGCAGTCCCTCGGAGACATGGAGGCACATGAGGTTGCACCTGTACACCAATCCCACTCCTCAGGAGGCTGGAGAGCCATGTGTGATGATAGAGATGAGAGCTGTCACTACAACAGGGGTCTGCTGAAGTGAGGCATAGCACTGGCTCTCTTTTATCCTCCACCTTCACCACCCAGCTGAGGAAAACTAGAGAGCAAGCAAGGATCCTTCCACAGTCAAGAACTGGCCACTATGAGTCACCTCCCTTCCCCCAGATGGAGGAAAAGCCCCAACACTTGGGGAATGAGCCAGCGAGGGGCTTGGGTGTCTGACACTTGTCACGAAGGGCTGATTAAGTCTGAAAGAGTCAGAGCAGTGGGCTGCTGGAAAGTGTGAACCTCAACAGTGGGGGTTCTCTGAGACAAAATGGGCCCCAGGATGAGGCACATGGATGGAAATGTATTGTCCTGTGCAAAGGTCAGCAGCTCGATGGGAGCTAGGTTCAGCCCCCTCTGTGCATGAGCTCGAGTGGGTTTTCCCAGAACTGCTGGTGGAGGAGGGTCCCCTCGTCAAACCCCTAGTAGTGCCACAGTATTCAGCCCCTCTTTTCAGTTCTGATTGCTTCTTCTGGATGCTCTTCCTCTATCTCCTGGGATCACCTGGGCTTTGTCCCATATTGGCCCTGGACTCTAGATTGAGGAGTCATATGTGCCTTGTTTGAAGCTCACCATAGACCCTTTCCTCATGCTGCCTGCGAACTGACCAATGAGAAAAAAGCCAAGAAATTAGCACATTTGGAGGATTAAAGAAGGAAAGAAAAAGAAAATTAAGGGGGGGGGAGGGAACCAAACAAAAAGAAATAGCTGCAGAAATAAGGACCAGCATGTTCTTGAAAGCCCTGAAACAATTAAAGAGAAGCTGTAAGAGACGGAAAGATCAAACCAAAAAAGGTAAGAGATGAAAGAAAAACATGAAGGGTACTTGCTGGGAAGTGTCTTCTACACTTTTTCCACTGGCTATGTAGAAGCGAAATTTGCAAGAAAAACAACAGCGACTCAAAGAATTTCCACTAAAAGATGCTTACAGCTGTGTCTCTGGTCCCTCCCTCCTCTGCTCTCACGTGCCTCAGGCTTATACTGGTTTCTTGGTCGTGACGCATCTTCTTAGTGATACGAGGAAGTTTGCTGCCCACCTGCAATATAAGGGCATTTAGGGAAATGCTTTGATCAGAGAGAGAGAGAGAGAGAGAGAGGGCATGAGAGCAAGCACATCCCACTGACCTCTCTTCGCTCACCCACCCACTTCTAGCACCTTCTTTGCCCATGCCTCATTTTTGCTGATCTCTTCAAGCTTTGGACCTTGTCAAGCACGGACCCAAGTGGGACACAGCCCCTTGCCTTTCCTGGATGCCACCATGAGGCCGGTGTCCCTGGTGCTGCTCCTCACCTTTGCCCTGCTGGCTTTCAGTGGTAAGAGGGGCTGAACCTATTGGGGAGGGCAGAGTAGCTCAGTGAGCTGAGCCTGGATGTTACTTGGTCCCTGACAAGGCTGGAAGGGAGAGTTTGTGCCCTTCCAATCCAACAAAGATGGCCAGATATTGCCCTGCTCTCTAACCTGCCCTGGCAAACGTGGCATCCCCACTCTTTGCTCAGCTCTTCATCTTGTGTTACAGCTGGTCACATCCTAGCAGGATTAGCGGAGGGGGAAAGCAGGGAGCAGAAAATGTGGGTCAGAGAGGGGAGTTCAGCTGTGCTGCCCTGCCACTTGAGCCCCAGAAAAATGAGAAAGAGCTTGAAGCAGCTGCCTGACAAGACATCTGTGCTGTGGAAGAGGCATGGGGGAAGGTATGTCAGCGTCAAAAGAAATTTCACTCCTTCTAGGGGGACTGGGAAGGTGGGAGACACTTTGAGCCCCTTTTCTCTTTCCCCATCTTCCCTCCTTCCTGCCCCCTCCCTTGATCTCACCTTATCCTCTGGGATGAGCAGCTCACTTGTCCCATTTCCAGTGTCCACCAGGAGCCACATGGGGTACTGGAGGTGGGGTACTCGGGCCTCCAGAAGACAGCACTGCTCATGAAGCCCCGGGTGTCACTCCAGGACTCTGCTTTGCGCAATGGCAATTTCTCCCTGCGGATTGACCCCGTCCGGAGTGAGGACGCTGGGCTCTATGAGGCATGGGTGAAATACAACTCGGAGGTCCACACTTGCCACGTGGAGCTGGGGGTGATTACAGGTAGGAGAAGATGGGAAACCCAGAGGATGTTGATTTTAGGACCGGGAAGGTTGTGAAGGTGGAACGGGGTGGGGATGCTGTGTTTGGCTGGGCAGGTTAGAGTACAGGCAGCATCCTCCTGAAAGCACACAGCTTCCTGCTGTCTGCTCTCCACTTTGGAGGGATGCCTGCCTGTGGGACAAGGCTAGGACAGGGGGACACAAAGGGTTGGGTTGGTAGTTCCCCTGTGATCTTAGCTCACCCCCCACCCCAACACTTTGGTTTTTTTGCAGTAACCCTCAGTCCACCTGATCCTGTGGTAGAAAATGAACAGCTCTTGATGAGCTGCAACTCCAGCTACCGGGCCAGCCTTGTGGAGACATGTTGGTTCCATAACGGGCACCTGGGCCTCACCTCCAGGACCTTCTGCTCCTTGCCTGGGGCTCTCTCCATCCTACGGCCATCCATGAGTGATGCGGGCTCCTGGCGCTGCCAGCTTCGATACTCTGATAACGAGATCATTTCTGCCACGTACAACCTGCAAATTCTAGGTAACTTCAACCTCTGTGTTCATATTCTAGCATCCCCAAGCTTATCCCTTTGATGTGACTAACACCAATAGCTCCAGCTTCCCATCTCCCACCCTGTCCTCACTTCCCAGGTCAGTCATCTCCCATCTTTCCAGCCACCATCACCCACTGTGCTCTTTCTCTGGCTCAGGTTTTGATGGCCCAACCAACCCTGTGGTCTATGCTGCAGCTGGCTCTGCAGCCCATCTACCGTGCAGCCTGAGCTACCTTCCCAGTTCCTTTCAGATGAACGTGGTGACAGCCCACTGGAGCCACCTCGCAGGAGGACACTTGCAAGACTGGGATATCTCCCCGAATCTGAGTAGCAGAAACTTCCCCCTGCATCTCCCTGTGGTGGGGCCGGGTGATGCAGGGCAGTACCTCTGTGCCGTCTCTGTGGGCCACAAAACAATCAGCAGGGAGGTGACCTTGGCAGTGGTTACAGGTGAGAGGAGAGACAGGGAGGTGATTTCTTACCCCTCTGGGGTCCCCCAGTGCTTACAGATAAACCTCCCACATGTCAGTGCAGTGAGCATGGGTAGCTCCTGATCATGGGTTCCCACCTCGGGGTGGGAAACACAGTCTCTGTTGAGGGCATTGCACTGCACTGGACTCTGCTGAAATTGGTTTTCCTTGGTGACCTAATTGTTCCTCTTAAAACTGAGGAAGACAAAGAAAATAAATTAGAGGAAGTAATAAATAAGGGATGTAATAGAAGAAGGACGGATGAGGAAGAGATGTAGACCTGTTTGTAGTTTTTACTGAGGGTTTTGGGTTTTTTTCCTTTGCTGCAGTGACTCCAAGCATCCAAGGGCCAGTTTCTGAGGGAGTCGTTTGCTGCTCATCTGCAGCCTCACACACTCCTTGGGACATGAACGTTTCCAGTGGAAGCACCTTGGCTCAGTCACCACTAACAGCAAGCTGGCTGTGGCCACACCCCAAAACCTGGAGGGCCACAGTGCCCCCACGGGACCTACCTTGGAAATACCCAAAGTGTCACAAAAGGATACGGGCACATGGGAATGCAGCGTATATGGCCCAGAAGGCCAGCTGGGAGCAGTGGAGTATGAGCTGCAGATCACAGGTACTGTCCCCCACGTATTTGTAACCAACCTCTTCTTGCCATATTCAGTTCCTTGGTGCCTTTCCTCTCTCACCTTCACCCTTTCCTTCTCCCCTTGGACCACTTGGATCCCATCTTCTTGTCATCGTGTCTTAGCTCTCACCAGTTCATTATGTTGCTCCTTCCAGTTCCCTGCACTCTTTCTCATTTTCCCCATTTTTGTGCAGTCCCAGCCGTGCCCCAGTGCAAAATCAACCTTCTCTCCCTTCCTAACTGTGGTTCCTCCTCACAGGTGCCCAGGTCTCCAGCCCTCCTGCTATCTTCAGTGGGCAGATTACTTTTGGGCTGACACTCACCCTCTTCCTTCTGCTTGCTGTCTGTGTTGTGGCTCTGGCCCTACAGAAAAGGGTAAGTGTCCATCACCCCATTTCTGTTATTTTTCCTGTACATCAACCCTTATTTGACCTTACTGGGCAGCTCTGGCTAACCATGGTATTTGTCTGGAGACAGGTCAGACACCTACAGGGATGAAACCTCCTAAGAGACAACCACAGCCCAGCCTTGGAAAATCTTCATGTTTACTCTCCCAGAGATTAAGCCACACTGTACTAGAGAAGGGTTAATTTCCAGGCTTTTGTAGATGTTGTCTCTCTTATTCCTTATCTGGACACCTTAATGTAACAGTCTCCATATAAAACAGTTCTATATAAATGCCTACTGGTGCCCAGACACAGATCTCAATGCAGGGCTGTTGTTGCTGGCTCAGCCCTCACACCTCAGCCTCTGCTTCTGGCAGCTTACTGACCTTCGTTTGCTCAGCTTGTTCCAGTATCTTGTTGTCTGAAAACTCTACCAAAGACCAGGCTAGAGCTAATGGTTCCCAAGCATGTCCCTGGAAAAAAAGCTGTGCAAACAAGTCAGACCATTTCTCTGCAGTTTTCATACTGTTGCTCTGTAAATTAATTACACGGCAAATTCATCCTTCAAGGTTTCCTTTTGCTGACAAGAGACACCTGTCGAGTGTAGCTGTGATGTAGTTGCCTTCTGTTTAACTTCTTGGAAAGGCTCCACAGTGAAAATCCCCTTTAGTGTAGAAGGGGCTGGGGGGTTGGAGCGATCTAAGTTCAGAAGAGCTTGTCCCCAGTGAAAGAGCTGGGAGCCTTGGAACTGTCTTGAGTTGAACACAAAGGATGTGTTAGCATTGATGAAAAGTCTTAGCAAGTCCCAGTGGCTGGAGCTGAAGACAAGCAGCATTGAAACAAAATCAAGGTCAGAATTTTTAAAAAACCACTCTGGGTACCACTAGAGCAGCTCGTGACAGATTCTTCATTATTCATCCTTAATCGGCACTGATGGTAAAGGATAGTCTGAGGCAGAAATCTACAGTTTCTGGGCAACTCTCTGGACTGTGCAAGTCCAGGACAAGATGATCAGAATCACTCTTTCTGGCCAAAAACCTTGGGAGAAATCCCTTGGCAGTGTAACTCTAAGGCCTCAGCTAGCAGGAAATAGGACATCTGGGTGTCCAGCTCTTAGTTAAACTCTCATGCAGCCAGGATATTTACCACCCCAAAACATTTGCATATGCCCTCATGGCTGTGCTTTGCTGTGTTGCAGCACAGGGCCTCCATCCACAGGTGATCCCCAACCAGCTCTGGGTGGCCCTGCTCTATCAGGGCATTTGGACTGAATCATGCCCAGAGCTCCATTCCAACACCAACATCCGGTGATTCTGTGATTCATGCCCTTCTCTGCACAGACTCCCTGCTGGGATCATCCTCCGCCAGAGTGCAGATGAGGTGCCTCAAGCAAAGGCACCAGCTCTTCTCTGGTTCTCTCCCTCTCTCTGCTGGCATCCTCTGAGATTACATTTGCTCTCCTTGCATTAGCTGGACACCGGATGCTCACCGCAGTGTATCATGTGCACTCGATGGGCTGTTGCCCACACATTAGGAATTCTTATTCCGATCCCCTGAGCCTATCAACGTGCCATTGGTATTGTTGCATTTCATTCACCCTGTCACTCAGCTTAGTGCTCTGTTCTCCTAAAATATCTGGGTCTTCTGTGACATTTTCATCCTCTTTCTTCCAAATGAGGCTCCTCAACTTTATCAGCTACCTAACTCATTAGCACTTTCACACTCTCTGTGCCAATAATGACTGATCTTTGAAGGTTTGTGCTTATCATTTCCCTACAGCCTGACAGAAACATGCCAGCAAAATCCCAGTCCCTTCTTCTTAGCTGGGATTACACCTACCATGCTATTCTGCAGCTAATCTCATCCTTCTTGCCATACGGATTGTCTGTGTGTTGCCCTATACTTTTACCCTGTCAGAAGCCCCGAGATCTTCGTCTTTTGCATTGTCTAGAAAGTCACTTGTGAAAGTGTTTCCGTCTTTAATTTGTTCTTATATCATTTTGCACAAGCCTTCATGCCTTTACTACTTCTCTCTGAAAAGGTGTTGTAAAATCTGGCATACCTTCAAACCTGACATTGGCCTGACCACTGCCCGGATCACTCTTTGCTCTCCCTTAAGCACGTCTTGTCTTTGTTATTCCTTATGCCCATGACACCACAGAGGATCGTGTTGGGACAGCATTCCCCAGAAGAAACTGCAGGTCTCAGAGAATGGCTTCTTCCCTGGCTCTAGGAGGGAATGAGAGCCTTATGGTTGCAAGCAATAGGACCACGTTTTCCATGGCAAGGAGAAGCCCAGTCTGCCATGCCATTCAATCTCCCTCTCATACCTGATGTTGCCCCTTTTTTCCCTTTCAGGCACAGACTCCTGCCTTCCCGGCACTGGAAGGGATGTTTGCAGTCCCTGGGCCATGGAAGTCAATGAAAGAAAACCAGAAAGGGAAGATCCAACAAACTGAGTGCTGACAGGAGCAGGGACACCGGGGCTAGTCTGCGTGGGAGGATGAAACTCTGTGTGCCATGCTGCAGAGAGATGGGCACCATGCAGACCTGTCAGGGAGGTCGAGGGACGGCATGAACAATGCAGAAGGCCTTGGGAGCTCTGCACCTGCAGGAGGGCTGGGAGCTGCCTTCCAGGGCAAGGCGAGCCTCACCGCTGCAGTAAGGTGGCCAGCAGCACAGATACTTTGGAGCTATTGGGAGCATTTGAGCCAGTAGCTATTGCCTGCTTCAGTGCCACATCTCTGCCCACTCTTTGCCCCTCCTCCATGGCTCCTTTCACAACCTTTCTCTGGTGGAACACCAGGACGCAGGAGATGGCTGCAATCTATCTTTCCTGCAACCTGATGGTGCTTTCTGCCCCCCCTTGCTCTGTTTCTTCTCCCTCTGCCTGCACTGCCCTGATCACTGCCCTGTTGCACAGTTTGAGCATTTTAACTTATTAGAAACTCATTTTAGAACTGAAAATAAATCTATGTGACAAAAAAACCCGCTGGTCCCTGTGTGTGCTTATGGAGGATTATGCCTATTTGACAGTGCTGGGTGTACCTCTGCCTGTGTGAAGCCATTTCTAAGGCCTTTGCTGCCTTCTCTTTCTCATTCTCTTTCAGTTCTGTTTTACTGAAGTTGCCTGTTCGTTTCTGACATTTTCACAGCAGGGAAGGGGAAATTAAATGCCACTAGAGAAGAAAGAATCACAGGTTCAGTCTCTCTCTTTTGCTGTGTTTCAGAGTCTTTTTTTCTTTCTTTTTCTCCCATCTGGCTGTCCCTGTTCATTCATTCATTTATTCCTTTAGTTCTCACATTTTCCTGAAAGATCCACAACTGATGTTAGGGCTCTCTGTCACTCTCCTCCTGCTAAGCATATATTTAGTAATATAAGTGTGAGTCTGCCAGGTCCCATCTCTCAAGACCTTTAATGTGTTTAGCTTTCATGTAGTCAGAGAATGCTCTTCACCTCGTCTCTGAAAAGCCATGGAGGACTGTGGTACTGCTCTTGAACAGCCATTACATGCCACCCTAGAAGAAAGCCTCACTAATAAAGAGAGCCACACGTGTGGTGTTTCCCATGTGGGTCCCCAGGCTGTGGCTGCTCAAGGAGGCAGCGGAACAAAAATTAAGCTCTCAATATTTAAGAGGAAAGATTCTCTTGACTTGAGTAAGAGGGATCAGTAGCATGCCAGATTTTCATTATTTCACCAGGCATATGGAGAGACCTTACTGTGTAGCTCTCACCTTCCCTTCCCAAGAGGAAAGCTGCATTCACAGCTAGCGAAGGCACTTTGGGATCCTCAGGCTGCTGGTAGTGGAGCAGTACACAAAAAGCCACAACTAGCCCACTCTGAAGAGCATGTCTGGACTCCACAGCTCTTTAGCTAAACAGTTAGCCGTGTATTGTACTGAAAATGACACCCATTTCTCCACTGAGTCCTAAAGAAATGCAGCAGAGCTGCAAGGTAGACCTGTCTGCTTCAACCATCCCATGCAATTTCAGTCAGAACCAACAAAATGCAGGACACTGGTACTACCATTTTCCTAGGCAATTGTTAATACTACAATTTTTTTTTAGGTTGGAGTGATCTATAGCTCAATCCCCTCTCTCTGCCAGATGTTTTGGAGATAGAGAAAAGGTGGGTGAGTCCCAGTGGAGCTAAGGGGCTGTCCAATATTCATCAGGACCACATCATATTCTCTCAGTGCCTCAGAGCAATTTGCTCTCTCTTCTCATATACAATAGGATGCTCTCTTCTCCTGTGTGTAAAACTTTTAGCATTGCCTTTTACCAGTCTGATATTCTCATTGCTCAGATGTGTGCCTGGTCTCTTTAAAGCCCCTGTTTCCTTGTACTCTCTGGTTTCCTCTGGCAATCAGTCCTTGGGTCTGCTTTTTCATTGTGTGAAAATGGTTCCTCTATTGGTTTTGAATTCAAAGTTTTCTGGTTTCATTGTCTCTTTTCTTTTCTTCTGTCACAAAGCCTAGAAGAAGAGGGACTCCCAGATCTATCATATCTTAGATGGTCATTATTTTACCACCTTTTATCACATCTTTTGTTTGTTTGGTTGGTTTTGTTTTGTTTGCTTGTTTGTTTGGGTTTTTTGTTATTTCCCCATCCCCTCCTGACTTACTGCCCTTCAGGTACAAATCCCAGTTGCTGGGACTTTCCCCCTGACAGTTTGCACAGGCCCATCTCTATGCATGGCCAACTCTCCTCAAGCCCTTTGCTCTGGAAGAGGAGGCAGGGGAGTGGTGCTGGTTTACATGGAGACACAGTGCCTTTGCATTACTTCAAATCTGCCCCTTCATGGCTCCCGGCGTTTTGTCTGCTCCTCTGAGAGAAGTTCCCCACTGAACATCACTGAGCTTGTACCCAGCTGTGCCTGTCGTGATGGCCAGGGCTCTTGCCTGACCTGGTGCAGTGAGCAGTTACAGTCGAGCAAAAGCCTCCTCAGCCGGGCAGGGAATTAAAAATATAACAAAAGCCTTGAGAGTCAAGATAAGGGCAGGGAGAGATCGTTCACTGATTGGGTAAAACAGACTCGACTTGGGGAAATTAATCGAATTTATTACCAATCAAATCAAAGTAGGATATTGAGAAAGTAAACACAAATCTTAAAAGAAGTCCCTCCCACCACTCTGCTCTGACACCTGGAGCACCTCTTCCCCCTCCTTCTGCACTGATCTTGATGTCTGCAGGGCTGTTTCTCTCACATATTCTCACTCCTCTCTCTGGCTGCAGTTGCTCATTTTTTTTCCACCCCTCCTAACCAGGTTATCCCAGAGGTGCTACCACTGTTGCTGATGTGCTTGTCCTTGGCCAGCGGAGGGTCCATATTGGAGCTGGCACTGGCTCTGTCAGACACAGAGGACACTTCTGGCAGCTTCTCACAGAAGCCAAATCTGTTGCTCCCCTGCATCATAAACGTTGCCATGCAATCCCAATACACAGAGGCTGAAAACTTTGAAATAAAACACAGGAAATCCAGTGGATTCCCTTTTGGCAGAGAGGGGAGCTTAAGCAAAGAAAGTGTTATGCATGCAAATTCCTTTGCATATGACTCCTCCAAAAGGAATAGGAAGACAATCTTTAATCCAAAATTAATCTTTTTTTGGTAAGAAAGATCAGCACCATAAAAAAAAAAAACCAAACAAAACCAAAACCAAACTAGGTCCAGATGTTCTGCATTCAGGACTTCTCAGGGTTTTACAGTGAGAGGATAAGTAAGTGCTAGAGAATAGCGTAATCTGACAAAGGAGTAACTATAAACACATCTATTGTGGTCTTGGTACATTCTGTACAGATTTTAAAAAACAATAAAATGCTAGAACGTTGAATTATGTAGGATACTAAGGCACATTGAGTTTTATGCTTGCTTGGCAAATTTGTGGGAACAATTTCAGCACCAATCCTGCAAAAAACACTCATTGACTTACTACTCTGCTTGTATTTCTTCAACACTTCTATGAACAAACCCCAAATATCTAGGGTTCTTAATTTTGCCTTCTAAAGGTTCCCTCAAACGAAGTTCCTTACAGGGATGCTGTTGTTGCAGGTACTGTGTCCCATGCCCCCCACTGAGATTCAAAGCATCTGGGACAGTCTTTTCGTAGTTGTGGATTCCATCGTGCTCAAGAGCTTCTCTTGAAGTTTCCATCTTGCTGGCCTGCCAGTTCAATGCGACTCACTCCAAAAGCTGTCACCTGGTGCACTCTGAAAGGGATGTCACTCCCACCTGAACAGATGGGTTGCAGAGGGTCTTATGGAAAGAGGACACGAGTGCCTTCCAGGGACACTGGCAGGAAGTGACACATAAGGACAGCTTCTGGGAGGATTTGTTAATAATTCCCATTCTCATTGAGGTTTCTCATGTTTCTTTTCTTTTACAGGCACAGGTGTCTTTCTTTGTTGTCACCAGGCCAGCATTGCCCTTTTTGCATGGAAAACGACACAGGTTTTGGGCCAACGAGAAGGCATCAGCAAGCTGCTTAACAAGCTTGGGGGGCTGTCAGGAGCTCAGCTAGGACTCTCCTTCTCTTGGATGGATGGCCTTACAGGGCTAAGCGACTCTCCACTTGGGCACTCCTTATCCCTTTAAAATCCTAAATTAGACATTAGGAATAAACTCTTTACTGTGAGGGTGATGAGGCACTGGAACAGGTTGGCCAGAAAAGCTGTGGATGCCTGGTCCCTGGAAGTGTTGAAGGTCAGGTTGGACGGGGCTTGGAGCAACCTGTTCTAGTGGAAGGTGCCCCTGCCCATGGCAGAGGGGCTGGAACGAGATGATCTGTAAGGTTCCTCCCAACCCAAACCATTCTGTGATCGTATGAAATCGCGCTCCCTCAGCGCTCTGAAGGGGCACCTATGCTCGGGGGCGAGGGCACGGCAAGGGCCGGAGGCTGCAGCTGCTGCTCGTTCACTCCCTCCCTCCTGGCACAGAGCTCCTCTCCTTGTCCCGAGCCAATGCCGCCATCTACTGTCCTCCTGCGCCGGGATGCTCCCGCCCACACGCGCCGCGCAGCGGGGACATCCATCCCTGGTGCCTATAGGGCTGCGCACTCCGTGACTCAGCTGCCCAGGGACCGCTTGGCACGCCCAGATCCTTCCCTCCCATTGCTTTCAGCTGAGAAAGCTAAAGCAAAATTTCTCACAGCTACTGCAACCTGACGGCGTGTGCCACTGAGTTACAATCCGCTTTAATGCTCCCAGCCCCGAGCTGCTTCCAGTGTGATATTCCAGACCCTCTGTGCTGATGAAACACCTCCAGCAGTACATCAAAACAAATATTGCCACCAGCTTCTCCCCCTTCCTTTTGCCAAGGTCGTTAATAGTGAGATAGATACAGTTCCTTAAAAACTCCCCCAGCCACCTCTCTCCTGCCTGTTGCATTTCTGACACATCCTTAACATCAGATTGGTTTTGTTTAGGCTGGCTTTAGCCCCTGTTACGTTCAGTAACACACTATTGCAGTTGGTGGTTCCTGGACCATTCCTCTCTCCAGTGCCCTCGGAGTAGTCCCTGACTTCCCAGCACACCTCGCTAGTTTTGCTCCATCAGACTTCACACCTCCTGCCTAAATACAGGAGACCCCTTGCTCATGAAGAACATCTCTGCAGGTTTCCCGATTTCCCCCTGTGATCAGCAAATGAACCTTCATGATATCTGCTTAGACAGTCCTTTCTTCCCAATCAGGCTTCTGCAGAGAGACTCCTAGAGCCTGCACAGAGGTATCTCCCTCTGGCACAACCTAGGAGCCTTCCTCCCTTCCAAGGAACATAGATGTTCTGGGGCAAATCAGCAGGCCCCCTCACCAGAGGGCTGGTTGTTTCTAGCTCCCCACATCTGGCGGCAGAAATGCCCCTCAACAAGCTCACCAGGTGTCTGCTCTTCTGTTACAAAGAGAACGTTCCTGGCCTTTGAAGCTGCTGACAGTCAGGTGTCTGAAGAC